ACTTAGATTAGAATACACGTATAAAATTGTTTTAAGGATATTGTGACAAAAAAAAGTATTTAAATGCAATATTTCGGCAAAGAATTAACTTAGAATAACCTTTTTTAAAAATGTTCTTCTTTAGTGAAAAAGGCTTCTATTATAATAATATTTTGCCTGTAAATAGCTCAGACCTCTGTACAGAGGCTCAACTATGATTTTTGAAAAATTTACATTGTTTTCAGATTTACAACCATTTGAAATAATTATCGGCGTTTTTTTCTTAAAATTTCTCCCCTCTATTGTCGTAAAACACATGGATAAGCCCACTTCTAAGTTATATACGCATTTCAAAAATTCTAGTTGAGCCTCTGTACAGAGGTCTGAGATATATACATGCAAAATATTATTATAATGGAAGCATTTTTCACAAAAGAATATTTTGAAAATGGGTCATTCTATGTTTATTTTTGTCAAAATATTGTACTTAAGTAAGTTTTTATTGTAATACTATTCTTAAAACAATTTTATGTATGTTTTCTAACCTAAGTGACATTAAATATCATAATTATTATCCATTTATGCGCCTTTGCAAAAACACGGCTCCGAATGTAGTCGGATACCTTAAATCTCTTCAATCAATAAGTACGAGGTTTTGTTTGTTTTTTACCCAGATATACCTATTCCAATTTCCCTTTCCTGAACCCTCCCTTCAACACGGACCATTCAAATCACAGAGATTCTTCGAGGAGGGTCCTCATTCCCCACCAAATTCCTGCACAGTAAAATAAATTCCATTATGATCTTCACTAGCACCGACCCCTTTTGCTGGTCCCATACTCTCACTGAATCGTGAAGCAGAATTCATTACTGGGCTTTTGTCTGTCGCAAAGATGGGAGCAAAGGACGCTTCCTGACAATCATTATCGGCTTATTGCACCAACACCAGTGGACAGAGGGACCACTGCTTTCTGGATCTCTGAGACTTGCGCTAATTAAAATATTTCAAATGCTGGGGTGTAAGATGGGATGAAGGTAAATGGAGATGCAGCAGACAAGAACATTGGGTGGTGATTCATAATTCATAAAGGTTTCGTAGGGGAAAAGATGAAAGGATTTGAAATATGAAGTGAGAATCGTGACAGAAAAAAATGCTCGTTTTGGTTCGGTTGCTTCGATTTCTAAGTGGAAGACGTTTTGATTTAAGCCTCAGTGGAGTACTTTGAAGCTGTTTAAATTATTAAATATTTGATATGAAGTATACATCAGAGTTGTTAAGGCAAAAGTCTTTGCTTAAGCATGTCAACTGTGATTACTCATTAAGAGATTTGCATATCAATGTCAAAGAAATACTGATACAGGAATAATTAAATGTCATCATTAGTAAAACGTCCCTTGGAAAGGGACAGAGAATATTATCTATTGTTTCCTATTTTGTTATTAAATTAGAGATTATATCAGTTTGTTAGGTGGACTTTTGTAGGGAGATGTAAAAATATTTAAAACACACACACACAAGTAATATACAAACAAATTAAGTCTGTTCCTACTTAGATCAACAAAGAAAAATTTTGTTTTAGCTACTTTTTATTAAATAGTTACAATTAATATAAATATGTATATACATAGGACAGAATCACAACACTAAGTGGTAATTAATATTTATTAATTATCATTAAAGTATCAATTTATCATCCAAAACAATCGTGTATATAAAATTTCAGTTCAACTGAATGCTTTAAAACGTGAGAAAAACTTTTTTAAAGTTTTGACCCAAGTCGCTAAAAATGAAACCAACGTAGCTGTATCTGTAATTCTTTAACTAATTCATTTCAGTCAATTAATTATAATTAAATTATCATATTTTTCCCCAAACAATAATGTATAGAAAATTTAAGCTCAAATGAGCGCTTTACAATGTGAGAAGAAAAACCTTTTCAAGTTTGGACACAAGTTGCCAAAAGGGTGGCTAAGTCACCAAAAATGATCTGAACGTGGCTGTATTTGTGATTCTTTGAATAATTAGTTTTAATAGATTAATTTTTATTATTTATAATCATATTACTGTATTGTCATCCAAAATAATCGTGTATATAAAATTTCATCTCAATTGAACGCTTTAAAATGTATTTTATTAACGATTGAAAATTCCACCTAGATAAACAAATATATAGAGAGTGTAGCTAATAGTAAGAATAGAAAAAGGGACAAAAAAAATTTCAAAAGAACCAATTCTTAAAATTTACATTCTGTTAAAGCAAGAAATAAGATGTCATTTTTAAGAATACATACCAAAAGTCCCGGCGTATAACACGCACCCTTTTTTATAAAGAAACTTGAATTGTTCATGAGCAATGTTTTTATCTTTTGAAGATTAGATGTAGTTTGTAAGGGGATAATAAAAGCATGGAATTAATATAAACCTGACAGAATTCAAAAGTCATTCAAAAAATGTAGTGTATGAAATAATCTAGATCAGCGGTACTTAACCTGCCGGGCCACATACCTATGACAAATATTTTACGCGGGTCGCAACATGAGGATAGTGGAGAAAAACTCTACAAGACAAAAGCAAAATTAGACAAAGCAAAATTGATCAAACTAATAAAACTCATTTTTTTAGCTTTTATTATAATGCTATATTAAGGTATCCGACTACGTTCGGAACCGTGATTTTGCAAAAGCGTATAAATGGATATTATTTATGATATTTAGTGTCACTTAGATTAGAAAATGTATATAAAACTGATTTAAGAGAATAGTATTGTGAAATCAATTATTTAAGTATAATATTTTGACAAAAAATGAACATAGGATGACCAGTTTTCAAAATATATTCCTTTTGTGAAAAATGCTTCGATTATAATATTTCGCCTGTATATAGCTCAGACCTCTGTACAGAAGCTCAACTGCAATTTTTGAAATCTATAACTTAGAAGTGGGTTTATCGATGTTATACGACAACAGAGGGGAGAAATTTTAAGAAAAAAACGCCGATAATTATTTCAATGGGTTGTAACTCTGAAAATAATGTGAATTTTTCAAATATCATAGTTGAGCCTCTGTACAGAGATCTGCGCTATATACAAGGAAAATATTATTTTAATAGAAGCATTTTTCACAAAAGAAGAACATTTTGAAAAATGGTTATTCTAAGTTAATTTTTTGCCGAAATATTGTATTTAAATAAATTTTTTTTGTCAAAATGTCCTTAAACAATTTTGTACGTGTATTCTAATCTAAGTGACACTATATATCATGAAAATCATCCATTTATGCACTTTTTTAAAATCACGGTTCCGAATGTAGTCGGTTGACTTAACTTCTGCACCAAACAGATTTTAAAAAAATATTTACTTTAATGCATTTTTTGCCGAGTTTTGGGGTAATTTCAATTTTCTTTCATCCATGACCAAGCCTCTTGTTTGCATTCTACAATCAAAACAAGGATATTGATAGTAAAACTGATAGATTTGATTGCTTGATTGGTAGAATTTAGCGCTAAATTTTTACTACATTGTTCTTAAATAACTGAATTTCTTAGTACAATAAGCCATGACCGGGTCACCCAAAAAACGCTGGTGGACCGCAGGCTGAGTATCACTGATCTAGATGGAACTGAAGATGATTATTTATTTAATTATCAGAATAAAGGTGACTGTGAAAAGAGGAAACTGAACTTGTGACGGATCAAATCGCGTTTTTCTAACTAATCTTCTTGGGAAATCTTTGGGTCATCGATTCACGTTGTTCACAACCAACCCTTCAGAGGAAGAGAATCGTGATATGTAACTTAACTTACTATAAATTAGCGAGGTTTTTTAACTTGAGAGAGAGAAGGAGATCAGGTATACTCGAGTCAGGTGAGATTACTACTAAAGGTTTTATATTAGAATTATAGTTCTTTGATTCTTATTAGGAGGAAACTTTAAAGTGACGATTGTTCACTAGGATTGATTCGATATTAGATTAAATGGGATGATAGATTTAATCCTTTATTAAGGTAAAGAACAAGTTTGATAGTCTCCTAATCGTAACGTTTTATCGTCATTGTTCCACTTTCACGATTAACATTGAGACATGCTCTTAATATTATTAAATGAATTTGTTTTTGTTCTATGTGTAAAGTAAATAGATTAATTGGATCATGTAGAGTGTTTCCTCCCTTCCCCCCCACACTTCTAGCTGCCTGAGAGAGAGGCACGAGCTTCTTACAAACTCAATGGTGTGATCAATACACAACGGAAGACGAAAACGACAAACTTTTTATGTTATGCAAAAAGGAAATTCACAATATTTCATTTCTTTTCAATTGACAGCATTTCGTTATATACATAGAAATATACTTCTGTTATACTCATCTTAAAGCTATCGTTTTTATAGCCGGCGTATAACAAGGACGCGCAAATTTTTGGTCTTATTCTTTTTGTTAAAAGAGCTCAACATATGCCGGATTATATGGTAAATACATATATGTAACACAAACTTATTGTATATTTTTTATGTCATTTATTTTACATTCCAAATATTAGTGGTTTTCATCAATCTGCAGAGGTCAGAGATTTTCATCATTAATCAGCACAACTTTTCATAAAAAGCTGCAATCGGTGAAATATCTCCAAATTCGCAATATATTTCTAGTGGATAGTTATGCTTTATTTTATTTTTAGTTATCCTCGTTTTTTAAGTATTGCTTTAAAAATATTAGTGACAAGTAATATAAAAACATTGTTAATTCGATTCCTATTTAAGTCAACAAAGAAAATTTTTTATTTTAGTTACTTTTCATTAAATAGTTCTAATTATTATTATATATATATATACTCATATGACAGAATCACAATATTCAGTGACAAAATGGAAAGCGATTTTCCTTGGATCTTTCCATTTTCCTTTCTATGTATGGTGTTGGAATATTTTGTTTGTTTTTGTCACTCTCTCTATTTATTTATTAATTAAATTTAATTATTCTAATGAAATAGTGTAGTAAAAAAGGAATCACACATTCTCAGAAATTAGGCCATCCCAGGTTGGATTAGAACCTACAACCTTCGGATTAGAAGTCCAACGCGCTATTCATTGCGCTACAGGGATACAACGAACGAGTTTCCTTCCTAAATATACTGTTCGACTTTTATTTTTGTTTGTTATTATTTATGCAATAATTATGTAGAGTTAATGAACTAATATTTGAAAAAACTGTGTTACCATCAAGTGTCATCCACAAGTTTAAAAAAATGTATTTGAACTGGAATGGATGAATAGAAAGTATTTCATTAAGAATTGAAAATTTGAACAAGATATGTAGGGAGAGAGTGAACTAATAGTATAAAATTGAAAAAATGCGGAAAAGTATTTGAAAACAATTTGAATCATTTCAAATGATTAATCGTTCAGTTGGTGCTAAATTTCACTGATTTGCTTGGCTTTGAATTTTTCATTATTTTTTGCTTTTATTTCTTGTCTTGTTGTCAAGTACAGAATATATATATATATATATATACTAGCCGTTACCCACCCGCTTCACTGGGTATTTCACCATGTTGTATAAAGGTATACTGTTTACATATATATATGAATTAATGATAGCTAACATTAAGAATTCGATTGTATTGAAAAATATATTTGAAGCTGTAACTCTCGCCTCTTGATATAAAAAAGACATAAATTATAATATCTAATTTCTATTTGTATCTAAAATAGAAGTAGAAAGATTTTTTTGCGCTCACACTTAACCTAATAATCAAGTGGATTTCCACCAAAGCAACTTTCAGTGGATCTCTACTCCATAAAATAAGCATGCGTTCTAAATTTCAAATCTAACAGAGCAAAATCGGAATTTTTATCATCAATACCTCGTTGAGAGCATTCTTAGAGGATTCCAATCAACAAAAGAAGCATGCAAACCAAATTTTATTATTATAGTCTTAGAAGTTTGAAAACGGGAATTTTGTCTATCAATACGCCCCAATAACTCCCCCCGCTTCCCCCTGGAGTTGATTTCCGTAAAATCCATTCTTAGTGGAACTCTATTCAACTAAAGAAAAATGCTCAACAAATTTCAAGTAAATGAGTTAAATTCAAAAAAAGGGATTTTTCTATATCACGCCATAATTCCTCGCAACCCCACTCCTTTGGGGGTCCGTTTTCGCAAAAATCTTTGTAAAAGGAACTTTATTCCATGAACGCAACTACTGCTTCTAATTTTCAAGCAGGTGGTTCTATTAGTTGAAAAGCGGAAATATTTATCAATTACGCCCCTTAATCCCCCTCAGTGACACTTGGGGATCAATTTCCCCCAAAACTATTTCATAGAGGATCTCTACACCATGAAAGGAATTCGCTTATATACCAAATTTCAAGACTGTGCGTCTAATAGTTTAAAAATAGAAATAATTATCTATAACGCCCCTTAAACCCCCGCAACGCCACTTAGGAAACGATTTTCACAAAGCCCATCTTATGACAGATCTCTACTCAGTGAATGGAATCTGCTTACTCAATTTCAAGATTTTACGTATAATAGTTTTAAAAAGGAGTTAATTGCCTATAGCCGCCCTTAATTCTCCACACCGCCACTTGGGGTCGATTTTAACAAACCCATTTTGCAGCGAATCTGTATTCTATGAAAGGAATCCGCTTAACAAATTTCAAGACTCTACGTCTAATAGTTTAAAAATGGAAATAATTATGTATAACGCCCCTTCAGCCCCCGCAACGCCACTTAGGAAACGATTTTCACAAAACCTATCTAATAGCGGATCTCTACTCAATGAATGGAATCAGCTCACTAAATTTCGGGATTTTACGTCTAATAGTTTAAAAAAGGAGTTAATTGCCTACAACGCCACTTAATTCTCTACAAAGCCACTTGGGAGACGATTTCCACAAAACCCATTCTGTAGGGGATCTGTACTCTGTGAAAGGAATCCGCTTACCAAATTTCAAGACTGTGCGTCTAATGGGTTAAAAATGGAAATAATTATGTATAACGCCCCTTAAGCGCCCTCAACGCCCCTTGGAGGTCGATTTTCATAAAAATCATTATGAAGGGAATCTCTACTTTATGAAAGAAATCTGTATACCAAGTTTCTCACGACTGTACATCTAATAGTGTAGTAATGGAAATAATTATCTATAACGCCACTTAAACCCCCGTAACGCCCCTTGGGCTTCGAACTTTGCAAAATCCGTTCTTAGCTGATCTCTACTCCATGAAGGGAACCTACCTACCAAATTTCAAGTCTGTAGGTTAAATAGTTTCGAAGATATCGTGATTAGTCAGTGAGTCTGTAAATCAGTCAGTGAGTGAGTCGCTTTTCTCGTTTATATATATAGACTAGCCGTTACCCACCCGCTTCACTGGGTATTTCACGATGTTGTATACATGTATACTGTTTACATATACATAAATTATTGATATCTAGCATTAAGAATTCGATTGTATTAAAAAATATATTTATAGCAGTTACACTCTCGCCCTTTGATATTAAAAGAACATAAATTATAATATCTAATTTCTATTTATATCTAAAATTGAAGTAAAAAGATTTTTTTCGCTCACTTAACTTAATAATCAAGTGGATTTCCACCAAAGCAACTTTCAGTGGATCTCTACTCCATAAAATAAACATGCGTGCTAAATTTCAAGTCTAAATCTAACAGAGCAAAAACGGAATTTTTATTATCAATACCTCTCGTTGACAACACTCTTAGCGGATTCCAATTCAACAAAAGAAGCATGCAAACCAAACTTTATTATTATAGTCTTAGCAGTTCAAAAACGGGAATTTTGTCTATCAATACGCCCCAATACCTCTCCCCGCTTCCCCCTGGAGTTGATTTCCGTAAAATCCATTCTTAGGGGAACTCTATTCAACTAAAGAAAAGTGCTCAACAAATTTCAAGTAAATGAGTTAAATTCAAAAAACGGGATTTTTCTATATCACGCCTTAATTCCTCGCAACCCCACTCCTTTGGGGGTCCGTTTTCGCAAAAATCTTTGTAAAAGGAACTTTATTCCATGAATGCAACTACTGCTTCTAATTTTCAAGCAGGTGGTTCTATTAGTTGAAAAGCGGAAATATTTATCTATTACGCCCCTTAATCTCCCTCAGTGACACTTGGGGATCAATTTCCCCCAAAACTATTTCGTAGCGGATCTCTACACCATGAAAGGAATTCGCTTATACCAAATTTCAAGACTGTGCGTCTAATAGTTTAAAAATGGAAATAATTATCTATAACGCACCTTAAGCCCCCGCAACGCCACTTAGGAAACGATTTTCACAAAGCCCATCTTATGACAGATCTCTACTCAGTGAATGGAATCTGCTTACTTAATTTCAAGATTTTACGTCTAATAGTTTAAAAAAGGAGTTAATTGCCTATAACGCCACTTAATTCTCTACAACGCGTCTTGGGAGAAGATTTCCACAAAACCCATTCTTTAGGGGATCTGTACTTTATGAAAGGAATCCGCTTACCAAATTTCACGACTGTGCGTCTAATAGGTTAAAAATGGAAATAATTATGTATAACGCCCTTTAAGCGCCCTCAACGCCCCTTGGAGGTCGATTTTCGTAAAAATCATTATGAAGGGAATCTCTACTTTATGAAAGAAATCTGTATACCAAGTTTCACGACTGTACATCTAATAGTTTAGTAATGGAAATAATTATCTATAACGCCACTTAAACCCCCGTAACGCCCCTTGGGGTTCGAACTTTGCAAAATCCGTTCTTAGCTGACGTCTACTCCATGAAGGGAACCTTCCTAGCAAATTTCAAGTCTGTATGTTTAATAGTTCCGGAGATATCGTGATTAGTCAGTGAGTGAGTCGTTTTCTTCTTTATATATATAGATAACATTCAAACATAGCAAAACATTAGGAATAGTGAATATTTTGAAGAAAATATATTTTAAGTCCAAAATATATATATATATATATATATATATATATATATATATATATATATATATATTATTGAGAGAAGTTCTAATACAACATAAAAATTTTGGTTTCTTCTTCTTAGAGTTTATTGATTGATTGTTTATTAACACATCACTCTTTCAACCAATACGAAGACTAATCCGACGGATCTCATAATTTTGGAATATTATCAAGTTATGAGGACGACAAACTGACACCCAACTCTCTAAACTTCCCCATGAATTATAGAATTTACACATAAAATAGTTTTGAGAATATTATTATACAGTAGAACGTCGTTTATGCGAACGTTTTTTTATCCGGAGCTTCAAATATTTGGACCAGTTTTTTTTTTGTCAACTACATGTACTGTATATGAATACGTTTTCGAACAGTGCAATTCTGAACAGTTGTTTCGTGTGAGGCCTAAAGTGGCGGGAAAATACAAGGTCAGAGATATTTGGGGAAATTCACAGTTGTGTGATTTAGTAAACATCTGCACGGAATATTAGGTCAGTTTGTTTCCAATTGAGGGGGTGTATACATGCTCTTTTGTTGAGTTGTGAACTGCTATGGCTTCGAATTCAAAACGAAAGCGCAACATCTTGAACACAGAGACAAAACTTGAAATATTAAACCGTCTCGCGAAGGGAGAAAGTGGAGCGTCTTATGCACATTTTATTCAATGTTAGAAAGTCAACAATTTCTGACATAAAAAAGCCAAGAAACCATTTTAAATTTTGCGTCAAAACTTGACTCAGGAGATGGAAGGAAAACCATGAGCGTAGCAAAGGATATTGTTCTTGATCGTGCACTCCGTTTGTGGTTTTCACAAAGAAGGAGCAGAGGGGACCCGATATTGGACCTTATGTTGTGAAAAAAGCTATGGAACGAAGATGTACAATGGCACAGCGAAAAATAAGTGATTATTTTCGAAAATAAAGGCAAAATTGCGTCATTTTGCACCTATTTTGCTTTTTCTTCAAGCACGTTTCCCGTATATGATGATTTTCAATGTTCGTATAGTGACCGGTTTCATATACTACATGGATCGCATTCGGTTCTCGGTTATCCGAACTGTGTCCAGTCCCAATTGATTCGGATAAACGACATTCTACTGTAATCAAAAACTACTTAAATGCAGTTATACACTAGCAAATAT